ATGGTTTTCTTGTCTTATCTTGTTCTGGGGTCACTTGCTAAGTTTTTTTTTTTTTTGAGTCACTTTGTAATTTACAGATTGGCTCGAATGTTTTCATGTCTTGCAAAACACATTGTTGTCATATCAAGGTGATCTGTAAGCCTTTTGTGAATGTAGTTTAGTTTCATCAATAAAAAAATCTGACTTGTAATTTCTAGGACTAGGGAATGCCACTACTTACTCGGAGTGTGAGTGGTGATTGTGTTTTGTTTAAATTTAGATTTGTCTTGATTGGTGTTCTGGACTTCTGCTTCTGGTCTGCCAGCATAACTATGGTGCATAACTCTGGAGCATATACTATTAGTTTTAATATTGTTGTTACTATAATTGTCACAACTATCTCAGTCATATATTTGAACATGAGCAACTAGCAAATTTCTAGTGAAATGCCAAAACTAAAAAGACAGGATACATGATGAGTACTCAATTTTCTGTATGCAACAATTCTGGAAGAGTTTTAATTGTATTGTGACTAAGTAGTATGTCAAATAACTTAATCTATACATACATTTTTAAGTTTGCAAAAGCAAACACTTGATTCTTTGTAGCATATTTAAAATATCAAGTTTGGTGAAAGAGTGCAACATGAATGGAAGTATGTGAAAAAGTCAGATATTCTAATTTTTTAAGGCTAAGAATGAAGTAAAATTATAATCAAATGAGAAATATTTATAATTACCATAAATTCTAAAGGTAAAGAGTGAAGTAAAATTATAATCAAATGGGAAATATTTGCAATTACCATAAGGTCTGTAGGAAAGTATCTTGAACATTTAAATCAAACACTAGAAAATGGGTTCAGAAAATATTTTCAGTAGGTTAACCAAACACAGGGAAATTATGAAAATGAAATCATTTTCCTGGAAAATGACTTGCACTGAAAACATTTTCCAAGGGTAAATATTTTACACCCAAACAAACAGACCCTTGGTGTAGTCTCATGCCAACAATTGATATGAGTTTTACTTGTAACGGTCATGATACTTAGGAATGAGATTGTGGAGTCATTTCCACGTGGGAAATTATTGAAACATCTCTTGTTATCGGTTTTCATTACGTATTCCATGTGGAAGATTTGTTGGGAGATATATATTGAACCTTATTTGGGTTATTTGTCTTGTTATCCAAACACCTTTGTCACATATTATTTGGAAAAATTCAAATATTACATATCCAAACACTCTCAATATTTTATTCCGAACAATGTGTGTTGTCATCTTTCTATGAAAAAAAGCAGTGTTTTTATCTCCTTCTTTTTGCCACAAAACTCGAGAGTTCGCTTTGTAAAAAGCCTCTCCAGCATGATATAATGCATAATATTCATCCATCAATGATCTTTCCTGAGCTATGAGTTCATCATTAAAGGGCTTTTCTTGCGGCAAAGCTTGGGTAGCCAACATTTGTTCTTTCTTCTGCAGCACACGAACACTAATGCTGCCATAATGTATTTTGTTTAACTGTTTCAATTCCCTTTTTAATCTCTTGAAATTTTGACAAATAGCAACTATAGAGTTACTCCTGATAGTTTTAGTCTAAGATCTTAGCAATGTAGATTTCAACTTCCTATGTTTCATCCAAAATTTTTGGAATTTGAAAGGTTTCGGCCCAAATCTTTGACTACTATGTATATCCACTTGGATGGGAGAGTGATCTGGCATACCAGTCCCAACATTTCTACTTCAACATGAGGAAACTGAGTATACCAGGCTTCATTGGCAAATATTTGATCTATTCTTCTATATTTTCTATCTGATGCTTCCCTATTATTGCACTAGGTGTAGAGGAAACCCCTGCTAGGATATTCCTCCACATCTATAATTTGCAAACACATATTAAAATCCTCTATGGCATTATATTCAAACTCCTTACTGCCAAGCCTTTTCTGTATGATTCCTGATGGCATTAAAATCCCCAAGTATCAACCATGGCATATCCCCAATGAGAGGCTTTATTTGCTGGAGATGGGACCATAGAGCTTCCTTTCCTTTGTCTTATTTTTCCCATATACTGCAGTGACCACAAACGGCTCAGTTTCAAGGCTATCCACAATACATAATATAGCCTAATGGTGACTTGATAGTAGACCACATTTCACAACAGATTCGTTCCAGCATACCCAAATACAATTGGCATTTCCTGGTATAGTGTTCTGTCCTAATTCCCATTGCAGGAAACAATGTGCAAAGACATAGTTAATATTTACATCTTTGATTTTATTCTCTACTACTCCAACTATAGCTGGTTGTATACTATTTACAGTTTCACTAAGTTTTTTTTGTTTTAGGGGGTCAATTAGCCCCTTCACATTGCAACACAATAATCTCATGCTATAGTAGGGGAGAAAAGTTTAGTGCAAACCTTCTTCTGAGCACCTCTACCAAGTTTTTCTACTTTCATCTCCACTGCTGGATATTCTTCCACTCCTTCCAGTAAGTTGTAACTATTTTGGATGTTCTGTGTCTCAATTTCAATTTTCTCCTTGCCCTTGGAAATTCGTTTGTTTACACTACTGGCTCCTCTATTAACCACTTCACCTTCGTTTGGTGTTTTCTTTTCTGCAATAACCAACTCTGCTTTTCCCTTATTTGATTCTGCTACTCTCCCATGACCTTCCACCTCTTCCTTATCCACAATTGGAACAGAGATCTGCATAGGTTCATCCCTTTGCACTCTTGATAGTGGTATCCACTTTGTCAGCATATTTATAGGACAATTCTTAGTCTGATGTCCAAACTTTTTGCATTTTGTGCAACTAGGTGGTATCCATTCTTATTCTACATCCTAATATTCCAGCTTCCTAGTTTCATTCACATAAGGAATCTTTGTTGGTCTAACTGCTCCTACTTTTAGCTCCACAGATATCCTTGCATAAGCTACTCCAGATTGATTAGCAGTCTATTTATCTGTATACAGAGGTCTGCCATTGTAACTAGCAAATTTGCTCAAGGAGGCCTCATTATAATAATGCAATCGTAGATGAGCTCATTGAATCCAAATTGGGACAGCATCAAGCTCTTCCTTCCTCATATCCAATTCTGGGCTCCAAGGCTCCAAAAATGACATTTTACTTGCAATTGGCCATGGAGATTGCTCCAATACACATGTCTAACTCTCAGCAGAGGAAAAGTTGAATATAAAAATGCCATTCTTCAAGGATATCACCTCAACCTTCCCCATTTCAGCCCATCTATTTTCGACAAATTTCTGGACAACGCTAAATGGAGGGTTGAATCCCCCAATGCAAAGCCTACTACCGCATGCTGCTATTTCTCCAATCCTTGAGATACATCCTCCATCGACACTTGGATTGGGCATTGATCTTCCGGTGGAATAAATTTAAGATTCAATCCCTCATGAGCTGGTTGAGCTCCACTAACTACTTGTGCCCAAGACTTACCACCCATCTCTGGTGAATAATGCTTTGGATTCACTTGTCCAATAGCTTGCTCCAGCTTCCCAGGTTGAATTTGGCTAACATCAAGTCCCAAAATTGAAGCATGAATGGCTTGACGTGTCAGCCACTCCATGAATTGGGACTTTAGAACCCTACTTATGGTGACTTTAAACAAGAGAGAAGAAGACAGTTGGCTAACAAAACTCTACAAAAATGCAAAAAACCAATAGGATGAAATGTATGCGAATGTGAAGTTGAAACATAATATATATAGAAACAAGAATGCAGAGCTGCCAATGTGCAACAATGGCGGAAGTTTACTCTACGCAAGTTAGCAAACACAATTGCCAAGTACGCATGTTAGCCCATACAGTTTGACTTCAATAGGGTAATTGATTTATATTTTAATGAGCATCCATGTTTTGTACTAACCAAATAGTGGTATGTAGTTGGTAATTAATTAATATTTTAAGCTTAAGTGCAAGGTTTTTTTTACACATAAAAACCAACACCAGACACGTCTAATGGCAAAACAAATTATAAAAATTCAATCTTTTAATAATAAAACTATTGTCTGATAATAATTTTTTAATCTAAATTATAGGTTCATTTCTTTAGCACACAAATCTCAATGGGATATCCCATTAGTCAACGTATGCAAGAAAAGTTCCAAGATTATGCCTAATTAATTTAGTACAAACATATGTTAGTATAGAACTCCTTGTAGCCTACTATAATGACAAAAATGAGGTTCATACACTCATGTCCTTTTCAAGTCCCATGTGTAGCATAAAAAACCCATTAAACCCTAACATCATAGTCCCTACACCCTTAACTTTTTTTCTAACATCTTTCCATTTTGGGTTAATACTTTGAGAGTTTTAACTATTTCTTAACAAGCACTTCTTAATTGAAAGATAATTTACTGAAACATATCCTAAATCGTGTACAGATCAGTATACTCATCCCTTGGTTGCTTCACCCAATCCATTAAAATCACAAACTTCACAATTTCCTCGATTATTGAAGTTGGTGAAATGATTAGGCTGCAAAACTCATTGTATGCCACCTATCTCCCTAATTTACCGAACAAGATAAGGAGTTTTTCACTTGGTCAACTTTCGGGATGTTTCAATCTGTGGGGTTCGCTTGTTTCAATACCCTTTTGGGCATTCTTGTCCATGCGAGAATATTCGTCCAACACAGGACCCATGTAACCGAATGGTTTACTAGTAGAAATTGACAAAATAACTCGAATGGCACACATTTTCCAATTTAACGACCTTTTTTGTCACAAAAAAAGTTTGATGATCAAACTGTCCCATTTTTAATAGTTGAGTGATAATTTTGGCCCTTCACTCTAGGGAAAAAATAGTCAAGGATATCTATAGTATTACCACACTCTTGCGCATGAATGAAGTAACACTAGACTTTTAAACCTTGGGGGGCAAAGTGTATATAAAACTTATATAGCGTGCCAAAAGTGAAACTAATTCCTAATTAGAGGGCAAATTGCAATTAAGTCTCTGCATATTTTTCCCAAATTGCACTCCAACATTTCAAATTTCAAAAGCAAGAATTAGTAATATCGGAGAGAAAGAGCCCAAAAATTCCAATCCAATAGAATGAGTAGTAGTAATTACGACGGCAGAAAGAAGATGGAGAAGTCAGTTGAAGAAGATGAAGTGGAGGAATTGCTGAAAGCTGCACAAGATGATATGCTTCTTAAACTCGGCCTCAATTCCCACATGACCCACTCTTCCTCTCAATTTTCTAGCATTGACCCTGATCTTGATTCACGCTTTCTAGCCCTGAAAAAACCCCATCAATCAAAATCAAATTCAAAATCAATATCAAAATCAAAGCTTGATGATACAGCAGGCACAACCCAGAAAAACCCAGAAAAGGTTTTGCAAAATATCGATGAAAGTGATGATCTTTTTGCAAGATTTGCTGCTCTCAAGAGTTCTCTTCCTTCGTATAATACTTCTGTTAGAGATGGTCAAGTGCAGCAGCAGCAGCAGTTGATGGATGATGATGGTGCTGGAGAAGAAGATGAAGTGGAGAAGGTAATTAAGTGGGCTATTGATGCTGCTAGGCTTGACCCTTCTCCTCCCTCTAATTCTAATGATGATGCTGCTAGTGATGCTGATGATGTTAGTGATGATGAGGTGGATGATGGTCATGGTGTTGATGCGGGGAAAAAGAGTAAAGGGAAATGATGAGTGAGTGTAGTATGACTGTTTTTGTCAATTGTCATTGTCTGCAAACTGTAAGAGTTAGAGCTAATTCATAAAAAATCAAAATTTTGAGAATTTCTACTTATTTCTAAATTGTTGTTGTTTTGAAGCATAAATTAAATACACATTGCTGAATAATCTTCTGTATTTGGTGTGACGTAAGAATGGGATTTGGTTTACATGATGAAAAATTTAATTGTTTTTTTCTCTTAAGGTGCTTTCATTGGACGGAGGTCAGATTTTTTTCACTATCTCTAAGTTTAAACTGTAGAATGATATGCTAACAGGCCTAAAATTAGTGGTCTTTTGGAATATGTTAGTTTTACTCTATCTTCTGAAACACTCCAAGGAGAATTATTTTGCATCATGATTTTCTGTTGAGTGATCCTTTCATCCTACCACAGTGATTGTCTGAAAAATTTTTATTACCATATTTGTTTTCCGATTGCATTTTCTTTGAAGTTAGCTGGGTTTGCTTTAAAACTAGGAGTGAGCCTTGGGAAAAATCGCATACTGTTAGAAAGTTGAGTAGAATTACTTCATGGAAAGCTCAAAAATTGGTGGTTAGTAGACCTTGATTCTCAAATTCAGACCAAAGTTGCAATTGCTTGGTTCCGCAATTCAGCTGTTTCACTGCATATTTTCTAATTTTTGGTCTTTCAAGTGGTTAAGAACTCTTCCAATTCATTTGGCTTAGGTATTCATATTTACGTAGAAAAGACTCTGTAAAGAGACTTTTCATTTTAACACTATTCACTCCTTTGCATGTAAAAAATTTGATCATGCTTAAAGGAATCTTGGTTTCTCCAAAACAATGATTGGGGGTTGCAGATGACATAGACTAGCACTAGCAAGTTCTGAATAGTTTCTACTTGCATTTCTGTCAACTTTATGTGGAGGCAGACCAGATTGCTCTAAAGGGTGCCTTGATAATTTTTCACCATTTTGGATGTTTAGAAAACTATGTGATTAATAATAGAAATACTGTACACTATGTCATTATCTTTTCTAATTGAATCTTCAACCTGCTGCTAGCAAAACAGTGCAATGGGTTAAAGCTTAAATATTTGCAATATTTCACGTTATACTAAAATAATTGAAGAGGTTGCCACTTGATGGATTCCAAATTGAGTTGTCACATTGCCTGTTTGAGTGGAATCTAGAGTAGACAAATTCTGTTGCTATGATGCAATAATCTTATTGCTAGATGCTAACCATCCTTATTGATGTGGTGTTAACTATTTTAGTAATGCAAAAATAGGCCATAAATGTATTAAGTTTTTTTCTTAACTGGATTTCTGATCTCCAAAAGAGCAAGACTTCTTTCTTTTCATGCTCGTAGTTCTGCAAATACAGCACTTCATCTTTGTGCAAGCAGGATCCAATAATTGGGTATCATTTGACGCTTCAAACTTTTATTGTTGGAGATCTTTTGATTTGAAATGGAAAGAGGCATTAGGTGAAAGTAGTTGCAACGAAAATACTGCCTCTGTCTTTTACAAATTTCCTCTCCTTTACCTCATCTTTCGTCTCTTTTGATGGAGACTGGCAAGGAAAGAATCTAAAATAGAAAGCCAAGGCTTGTGCAAAAGCTTGAGAACGCAGAGGTATAGTCGTCTGTGGTTATGTCTTTTCTGCAAATAGAATTTCTATCCAGAAAATTTCCCCCTCTGTTAAAACTATTTACCATCAATATTGAAACTCATTGTACTCAAGGGCCTGTAGTTTCCAACAATTAGTGGTTTGATCTCTGGTTACTGATGAATTGTTGAGAATGAAATTCTAATATGATTTATGTCCTAGACGAAGAATTGTGCCTGGAATCTCTTTGGTGTGAGTAGGATAACATCCAGGTTTTGTTTAGGATTTCAGAATGGACAAGAGAGTTCGACGTATATATGATACAAGTGACAGAATATGATCCAGATCAATATTTTAGCATCACACTGGCGGTAATTTAGAAGTTCTGTTATGCAGATTATGGATGAAATGCACAATGGAACCCATACATTGCTTACTTGAGTTTGTGATCTTTGAAATCATTGACTGCTTTAGTTCTTTTATATCACTAAACCCTAGTGGCATGACCTGGCTAAGATTTTGTGTCCAGGCCATTTTTGCCTGAAAAGAAACCTGCAAGTTCTTTCTTCACAATTTTCTCTTTAATTAGGAATGATCTGCTTTTATTTTCTGGGACCCAGCCTAATTATTATTTGTTTTGATCCAACCTAATCATCAACCACAGATTTATGAGCTTGTATTGGTATTTGCACAAATTTTATTTGTTGGATAGAAGAATATACTGCTTTATACATATTTGGAATGCTTTATCAAACACAATAACTTCTTCCTTTATGGAGATTAAGCCATTTTTTAGTTTTTGTTCTAATATAAATGCTGTCTAAGCAACTTGATTAATACTTGCCACTTGGAATATGATGACATCCAATATGCTTTCCATGAAATTAGTTTTGTCTGCTACACTTTCAAAAGTTTGATTGTTGAGATTTGACTCCATTACTATCAAGCTCTACATTTATTTCCTAGAGTAACCTTCATCTTTTCCAACCAGGAGAGGAGAACAATTTTGTCGGAGTGCATTTAAAAGGTTTTCATATGTATGAGATATTATATTTTCCTTTTGGAATGTGCAAGTATTAGTTACAGGAGATGTAGGCTCTCATGGTTGTATACTTTTAGATGTTATGTTTTGATACTTTGTGGAACTTAAAGATCCAGAAGAGTGCTTTTAGTTATCTACAACTAGCTGCAAGCAAAGGAATCCCCATGCCAAGATCAGTAAAGGGATAATTTGCAGAAAACATTACCTTAATTAGGCATGTTAGTTTGTAAGATTCCAAATGCTTTGTTAGTTCAATAATAAACTGCAGTTATATTATCTACTTCAATTGAAATGAAATACTAAAATAAATGGTAAATCCATATCTGGCAATTCCAATCCACATTCTAATGCACAATTGTGCATGCAATATCATATTGTTCACTTTGGCTATTAAGTAAAGAGTGGGGAGATAAACTTCCAATTTTATAATTGGCATTTTAATACTATGTTCACACTTCTGTCTGCAACTCTTTTATTTTAGAACGGAGTATTCTCTCTCTCTCTCAACCCACTCTTCCTTTCTAGTATCCTTTGATCACTCCCTTGGGAGAAATAGGTAGAGGCCACTTGTCCATGACTTGGTTTGTGAGAGATTTGATAGTTTTTGTTTTTCTTTTGTTGGTGCTTTATTAGCATTTCTCTTTTCTAAATCCCCTGAGTTTCCTGTTTTCCCACTCTATTCTTTATGCTAACAAACTTATGTGTGTTTCTGAATTACCATATCTCTAATAAATCCCTGGAATTAAACTGAAGGGCTGCAAGTTATGAGTTGTTATGATGTAGTCTGACTGGGCATTTGTTTCAATTATGCAGTTATAGTGCGGCTAAATGTTCTGAAAAGTTTGTTGGACTTTATTCTTTGTTTGAGATAGATTCTAAGTTTTGTTTCTTCATATATGGTGTTTTATCCTATTTGGCATCTTGTGTTACTCTAAATTTTGGTTCTAAGTTTGTTCTATTTCAGTCTGTTGTTTTTAGTCAAAATATAGTAGCTTTTATTAGGTAAACTTTCTGGTCTAATTTCTTCAAGCATGTAAACGACATATTGATAGTTGTTACTAACAGAGCAGAGCAAAAGAAATTGGTCTTGCCTGTAAATTTATCTTTATTAGTAAGAGTTGTTTATGCACATCACAAGGGAATACCTGATTTTACCCGTGTTACTTTTCTATATGGTAATTACAATAGGAATTTATGCCCAAGGTCTGGCATTATCCCAACCTTATATCTACTTTCTTCTTTGTTCATTAGTTTTGTCTTGCTGTGTTGTTTTTTTTTTTTTGGGAAAAGGGGTGGGGGTGGGGGTGGGGTTTCTTTCTCTTCTGAGCATAGCTTGGTGTATGAGATCATCAGGTCACCATGGAACGGACATGTTGTCATAGGATTTCGCTGAAATCTCGCAGCTCTTGGAGAGCATTGCTATTTCCAATCTGTTTTGTGGTGATTCCTTCGAACCGTCATATCCAACATCGACCACTGAATGAAGCAGTATTTCAGTAAGTCACCATCTCTCTCTTGTTTGGAAGACTTTTCCTAGTCAATTAACTCTGTTTTCTCTTCTTCGTCTTCATACTCTAGAGCTAATTGTATCCACATTTCTTATAGTATAGTCATGCAAAACCATCCTGGCAAAGTTGTGGATAGTGACCATTGGCCTCTTGCTGGTCGTCGTCTGCTGGATCAAGATACCAAAACTGTAGACAGCCCAACTCCTTGATGGCTCTGTTCCTGGTCCATATTCAGGCATCTTTTAAGAATTTGCAAGTAAGAAGATTTTTTATAATTGCCCATCTGATGTTACTCTAGAAACCTCGAACTGTTGGGTAAAGAAAAGAATGCTGTAACATGAGGACTTAAGATACCACAGTATTTAGCAGGCTAAATGTCAACTAGTCAAATCAAACAATTGTATATGGAAGCTTTAGACAGTTGCAGAATCATAAACATTTTGAAATTTGAGAAATACCTCGTTAGTTATATGGTATGTGTTAATGCTATTTTTTTAAGGGTTTTATTTTTTATATTTTATTTTTTTATAACTTCTTTTTAGAAAGAACAATGTTGCAAATTCCGAGCAAAGCAAAAATTTATCAACCTGGACCTCCATAGCCTACAGTTCCTTTTTACTCCTGTTGGACCATACTTATACAAAGTTTTCACTTTTCACTTCTAGTAGAAATCTGGCTTACCGAAAATTTCCCACAAGCCGTTATATCATGGCAAGAAGAACATTACCTGGCTTTATATCACAATAAATTATTTGTTTCTGGCACTGGTTGTGAACGTAATTAATTGAACTTCCTATGTAATATTTGTTCTTTGAAAAAGATTTAGTTTGTTGGATGTTTCTATTTGTCTAGACATCCCTTGGGCATTTAATCAAGAAGTAGAGCTATAAACTCATTTTTGTGAAAATCAATACTCGAGCAAGCAGTTGTAATCTTAATATGATTTCTGCCAAACACTTGCCTAAAGATGATGTTCAACAAGAAACTCGTGGAAGCTCCTTTATGTTGAAAATTGATTACTTCAACAGTGATAGTTAGTCCATTGTGGTCAAATTATCCTAAACAGCACCAAAGCTAGCCTACAAATTACTTTGTCTTTGGATAATCCATTATTTGCATGAAGTAGTTTTCCTGTAAGAATGTTCCAGGAATGGATTTTCTGTGGTTGATTCTGCAGGGAAAACTTTTTTTATGCTCCAAATAAAGCAGTAGATAAAAGACAACAACAGGGTGGCTCTAAGAACCATAGAAACTACTGAAGGGATCATTTTGTGGATAACATACATCTTCCGTAGCTTTCGTTTTCTGACGTTGCATCTCTACAGCTAAGAACTGGTGCACCACTGTAACAACTATTATGTCTGATAACTGGTACAGCACTAATGTCTGCAAAAGGATATAATAGATTCTTCATAAAGTTGTTGAGAGAAAGATCTTAGTTGTGAACTCTGCTCAGCTGGAGAGACAGGCCCCTGGAAGAAGTTCCCCTTTAGGTATAATATGCTAGGTTGCTGCAGGTCCCAAGAAAGTTCTCTGGACAAGATAAATGATTTTCAGATATGGCCAACTCAACAAAATTCTTCAGGTTGCCAGAATTGAAGGAATAGATCCAGTTAAATGGTTTTGTGCTAGACTTAATGATTGACAACAATGCTATACTGAAGAGAGTTTCTACTTCAGTTCCATTGAGCTTATTTCTGGAAGGATTGAGAACTAGTAAGTTTTGACAGTTTCCAAATTTTGCAGGTGTATATCCTTTTAATTTGTTTTCATTCAGCCATAGATCATTCAAGAGCGACAATTTCCCATAGGATATGGAAGGTTTCCTGATAAAGCTCAGCCTTTTGTGGCTTTTGAAGATTACCAATTCCAGTGGGAAAAAAGGGCAGTGGGCTTGTCATAATACTCCATAAATAACCAATTTAGGTTGACAAGATCACCAATGCACAACGAATGTCACCATAAACCTGTGTGAAGTTACTGCAAACTGTACAAGCTTAGTGGAGAATCTGCATGCATCATTTGTTATAGCACGTCGTAAAATCCAGATTGCTGCAGTTAGTGAATTCAAAAATGATTGAGCTCATCTAGTTCCCCACTAACAACATTAGTTTTTTTCTGGAGAAGTATCTCCATAAGCTTTTGTAGGTTTTAAAAATCAATTGACACCTTTCCAGTAAAACTGTTGCTTGACAACTTAAACAGCCTTAGCTTTGTAGAATTTGATAGTGAAAGTGGAAGAGCACCAGTAAAGTTGTTGCTTCCAAGCTGATAAAGATGAAGATGGGGAAGCACGAGCACAAAGCCTGATGGAAGTTCTCCACCATGTTAATGGATGATGGGCATATACCTGATAGATTGTTGCTGCAGAATGTTAGGAATCTTAATTTTCTCAGTGCATCTGGAGTTCTCCCTTAGAGGGCATCAATAGCAGCTGATAAACTCTGAAGAGAGGTAAGATTTCCCAAAATAAGAAAAAAGAGTAATGGCTCCTGTGAAGTAGTTGTAGTGAATGAACTTTGTTTTTGTTAAGGAACCAAGTTTTGGAAGTCTCTGACCAAGTGTGTTAATTGCCACAGCAAGGCAACTAAGGTTAAATCAGTTAGACAAGTTGGCTGGTATCCGCCCTTCCCTTCGAGAAGATTCCTGTCAGGTCTAGAATCTTCATTTCAAGAAGATAACCAAACTTGATAAGAAATTCCACATTGAAGGGTATTGTTGTGGAGATTTATCATATGACAAAAGTTTCAGTTTATACGTCAGTCCCTCTGGAAATTAAACTAATGATGGTTACTCTGCTGTGTTCACTCCACAGGTGACACCTTCTCACTGGCAAAATAGAGTATGAAAGTTGCTAAATTCGGTTTGAGATCCCTTATACTCAAAAAGGGATTTGATTGGACCACTTTAGTAATAATTGTATAAATAACTATAGATGACTGTTTTTTTAAACAAAATTTTCACTTTTCTTGTATTTTCTTAGCACTCCATCTGAGTTGGAGGCTAGATACTTGTATAAGCATACTTATGGGTGCTAATAGTCAATGATGCAACAATTGTAGACATTTATAATCAACAGAAACTATGGATTCCATAGATAGTGAAGAACTTCCAACTAACCAACTTTGACATTTCTTAACCTTAAACTACATAAGCAAATTTTTGGCAAATTGCTCAAATGGTGATAGATTTCTTCTGAGGATTCTCCAATCAATGAGGTGCTTCAAATTTCGACATAGGCATTAAAGATTTAGGTGTCACTCACGGCGCAATCATAAATCAAAGCTTCAAACAAGATTTATTATTGATGACCGGTAAAATATTACAAGCAAAACACACTTTGATGATACATTAAAATCGCATTACCCAACAATTGAAGCTCAAGAAAAGAGCTACCAAAGAAAACAGATCTTCAATATGTTTATTTCAATCATCCAACAAGTATGTGGGCATATATGACGCAGCATTGATCAGTTGTATACATCAGGATTTGCGATGAGGTAGGCTTCCACAGCCTTGAACATGGCCGAGGACCTTTCTTTTGCTGCCTTAATTTGCTGTTTTGCTCCCTCAATTTGTTCTTCGGTATACTCGATATTGCCCTTGGGGTAGTATGTGCTGGTGGTCTTACAGATTGACCCTCCATCAGCTGAGGCTTCGATTTTAATCACGTTAGCTACTTTTTCAATCTTATCACTGAAGGAATCACTTTCAAGAATAGTATAGCTGTAGGTGAAGTTGTCTTTGTCAATTCCATCGACTCTCTGTTTTGCACCCTTATATTGACTACCTAAACATTCAACAAAGTTCAAAAAATATATATATAAAATTATTCGAATTTATGGACAAAAAATTATGAAATGATGATTAGGTGAATCTCAAGAACTAACCTTCACCAAAAGTGATCAACTTGATGGATCCCACTCCTCCATCTCCTTCAACGATTTCGACTTTTTTAATGGCCTGTGGCAGCACCTTGGTAATGAAGTGGTCATCAAGGATGAAGGCCTTGAACAACCTTGGAGGAGGGATTGAGCAGGGGACGTCATAATCACAAGTGAGAGGGGCCATGATGCCTTGGTTGGTGTTTGGGAATAAACAAAAGTTCTCTTCAGGAACAAAGGGTTTGAAGAAATGTGTAGTTCTTGAAGAGGATCTGGGGTGCTAAGCAATGCGACTGGAGATGGTATTTATAGGATGAAATTGTAGTGTGAATCTTCTAAATACAAAGGACCTACACTGGACTTCATAGTCAGTCTTCTTGTGCTGGCGAGGTATTGTGATCTAAATTTTGACACCAATGGGCACTGATAATCCAACTTTGTTGGATTGTGATGCGTAGTTTTGAGTAAAAAGGACGCAATTTGTTGATGGTCTTATTTATTAGCATGTTAAAAATTAATCCAACTTAAACAGCCGAGGCCGGCGATAATATCTGGAATTTGTTGATGGTCTAATTTATTAGTATGTTATTAGACCTGAGATTTTTCAAATTTTGATTATTAGATTTGGAATTTCTTGGATCTATTCGACAGATCTCACCATAATATCTGAACTTGAAACAATTAATTAGTAGATCTGATAATTAAAAAATGCACAGATGTCCTTAAAATTACAATTATTTTATCTCATTTTTTGGATTTGGAGCTTTATAATGTAATTTTTATTGTTCTTCAAATCTGTTTTTTGATATTATGTTTGATGATGTAATTTCTATCATTAATGTAGATTTTAATGCAATTATGATATTTTATTAAAAAAAAAAACAACTAAGGCCGGCGATAATGTCAGAATAGTTATTTTAAAGTTAGAATAAGTTCTATCTAAAATGATAAATTTATGTTTTCTTTGCTTTTTGTGTAATTAGAAAGTCAAAACTAATCAATTCACAAGAAACTTGGCGTGGCATTGCATTTGCCACGTATTAAAGTTTCCTGAACCACAGTATAAAATGCTGAGTTGACTTCGTTGTCAGTTTTGGTGTGCTCCGACCGCAATTACTTATTACTGTTGATTTTGAAGAATTGGAACCACATTTCTTGATTTTAAGATTTAGTATTGACAAAAGGTACCGCGACTATATAATTCCAAACAATTTGAGTCCACAATGTGTGGTTCCTAAGTTCATGATTGTACTTTTGCCCAACTCTTGTTTTTTTTTTTCTTGAGGGGTTGCTTTCCTTCATTTGTTGAACATTGACAAAGCTGTTGCTAAAACGAATGTTAAGTGGAATAGGTCAAGCAATAGTAAATTGAGAATGGCGTAAAAATTTTAGCCAATTTTTGAAAAAAAAAAATCTAAGAAAAAGATAACCTTATTCGATTTTTTTGTGTTATTCAAACTTGAAAGTTAAATATTGTTTTTAAAAGTGTATTTGAGGGTTGCATCCTAAATTTAACTTTTTTTTTTTAATCTTAGAATAAGTCAAAACAAATAGTGAGAGTTCTGGGGTTTAAATCCTCCCACTTACACTGCAAAAAAAAAAAAAAAATGAGTTGTAAAACTTGCAAATTCTTTTCCCTTGGCTTTGTATTGGTACGAAAGAGTCGAGAGATTTACTTATTCTTAATGCGTTACTTCTAAACATACCTCGTATAAGTGTTCTCATAATATGGATTTTCATCTGCATATATAGATCACACTAATTAAAGCATAATGTGTAATCTTTTGCCCTCCAGTTTCATAAACTCCTTGGTATTTTTATTCTACCGGAGGGAGCATGAAGCATCATCACCAAATTGTTTATCACTGAATAACTATGGAGAATGTAAGTTGCCTAGTGTTCCCACTAATAGCCATCTAATAAATATTGTACCCTTCTCATTGCTGGAGATAGTTGCTTTTCTATTGAAGTAATGTCTAAGCCACTATACATAATCAGTTTCAACAACCTTCAAGATTTATATGCGCCCTTACATTACGTATCAGAATCTCAACTCTCAAGTTTGGAGGATCTTTTATTTTTTTGTGTCTAGAAGAAATATATAACCGACTAGTTATATATTAATGACTACTTAAGTTAAATATGATTAAATCCTTTCAAAACCTATGCATGACGCATTAATTCCCGGGAATTAATTAAATAAAAAGTTGGTATTGAAGCTTTGATATTTTTGTTTTTTAGTGTAAGTGGGTCTCTTGAAGTGTTGATGACATAAATTCTAATGTAATGTAGGTTAGATTATTTTATTTACTTAAAATAAAATAATTATAAATGCTGATAATCAACTATTTGTGAGTTAAATATAGTGTATAATTACCAAAAGAATTAGCAAAGTGACACACTTGATTAGGAATACCATTAAATATTCGTTGAATTATAGGAATAATATAAAATTTTGAAATTTGCAAAAACTAGCTCAAACCTATGAATAGTGATACACGATTCGAATTCCGCAGCAATTCCCATTACGGAATTTTTTTTAAAATTATAACTAAAAGATAGCAAGTAGGGACATATTTAAATTTAAGATATTTTCTATTAAGCTTCAAGTATGTTAGGAGGTTAGTGGTGTTCTAAGTCACATAATAAATGAAGAACAAACTAAAAATTGTGAACTTGAAAGTTTATCCATTGAATAGGTTTTTGGTTCAGACACTCAAAATCTTCCACTAGAATTAGCTAAAAAAAATTGCCATGGTAGTTGTTAAAGCCGAAAGAGCCAATATCAAAACCAAAGGTACAATAGAAGAAACATACATGCACGAGCCATCAAATTGTAAAAATTCTCCACAAGATAGGAACTGACTTCGTATGGTGCTCCCAATTAGCTAATTCTTTATAACATGAACAATTTGAGCACTTTTCATCTCATGCTAAGACAAGAATAAAATTAGAAGAAAAGGGAAAGGTCAAATGAGCAATTTTTTTGCCTTCAAAGACATATATAAAGCCATCATAGGACCCTCAAAATTGGGCTGAAATCAGCAAAAGAGTCAGCTCTTGCTTGAAGAAACTCTAAATTGAATACAAATGTGTGTGTGTGTGTGTGTGTTTTTTTAACCCTTGCTAGCCTCTTTTGTGACTAAAAACCTCTTTTAAACATCAAACAACTTTCATTTTGCGAATGTTTTCAAGCACGAATGGCTTTTTGATGCACTGAAGTGAAGGTAAGGAAAGAAAGAAGTGAGAAAATAAAAATATGAGTCATGTTCACAGCAACAGAGAGATATGGATATGTATCCTAGATTCATCTCGAGTTTTTTTTGTCAAAATAACCTTTTTTTCAAAAAATATTCCGGCAATGATTCAACTCCAAATTTTATTACTAATCTAATCTTCTGACTTTATCCCCTAATAAGAAGCAACCACCTCCATACTTTCTAAATCAAGTTTTTCAAACTCAATCAAATTCTAGATTCACATAGGAGGTTCTAGATTCACAGGTATCCATCCAAAATAAAAGCATAAGACTCCTTTCCTCAGCCCTACATGCTATTCCCTCCATATTGCCACATGTGCAGTGAGTTTGGTTCAATGCAGTATGACAAAATCAAAACTAAAACTCTGGAAAGAGTTAATTGAATGAACAAGTGATGGAGAGTTCTGTACAAACATACTAATAATTCCAATTTTGCTAGATTTGTAGTGAGTTTTTCCTTTTTTTCATTCTTAATAGGAAAGAGAGCATCAGAAAGAGAAAATTACTGTAACTGGAATGGAGATGAACAATCAAAATTTTAGATTTTGCTTTTCGTGTTTGGTGATAATAGTTTTCCTGGATTTGTAGTGAGTTTTTCTTTTATTTTTTTCTTAATAAGAAGGAAAGCATCACAAAGAGAAACAGTCAGATTTTAGATTTTGGTCTCATCTTTGGAAATATCGTTAGGTTTATGTTAAGTATTCAAGACTTTTGCTCTCATGTTTGAAAATATCGTCATATTTATGCTAAGTATTCGAGATTTTTTTGGATACTTGAGTAACAAGTAAAGACAGAGTAGAGTATTATAGTCAAAAAGGAAAAGATAGATTCAGACTAGAGTATGATAGTTATATAGGGGATTTTTGGACAATATTAACGGCTAGTGAAGGGTTTTACCCTTTTTCTCATTTCCATTTGAATTTGATCGGATAG